CACACACACACACACACACACACACACACACACACACACACACACACACACACACACACACACGCTCCACAGCTGATTTGTTCTCGTCTTTCTAACGTTCAGCTTCAGCACTCGCTCAGTCATGAGCTCAAACAGGAAGTAGTTTTCAGAACATTTAGTTCCACAGCTCAGATCAGCCCAGCACCCTCTGCTCTCTGTTCACATGTTGATCTGAACATGTGAAGGATCACAGGGTCAAACATGACATCATGACTTTTATCCTACTGGAGCGAGAAAATCTAATGTTTTATATGAAAGATCACAGGTTCAACTGAAACATTTCAGAACTTCTTACAGGTCCAAATAAAAGGATACATATTTTCAAAATAAAAGCATCCAAATCTCTCTGACAGGTTTATATTACAGCAGTGACCTGCAGGAAACCTGTTTTCAGTACAAACAATGAAAAGACCTGAAACTTTAGCTATTAGCAATTAGCTGTTAGCATTTACTGGTGGCTGTTAGCATCGTCTTACCATCCATCATCCAACCACCATCCATCATCCATCCATCATCCATCCTTCATCCACTCATCCATCCATCATCCATCCATCATCCATCCATCATCCACTCATCCATCCATCATCCATCCATTATCCACTCATCCATCCATCATCCACTCATCCATCCATCATCCATCCATCATCCACTCATCCATCCATCATCCATCCATCATCCATCCATCATCCATCCATCCATCCATCCATCCATCAGATCAGAGGTAGCAGCTTCATCTGAATCTTGACCTCTGCCCTCAAGGACCACTGACCTGCAGTGGACGATAACCGGTCCTGGACCAGAGGCCTGCTCTGTGATTGGTTCAGAGCCGGTGAGTGATTTACTGTACGCCTCCACCTCCTCCACCAGCCTGAGCAGGGAAGCAATGCATTCTGGGATGTGGTGGTCGGGCCAAGAGCTGAACCAGTAGTGTCTGATGGACCGACACTCCGATAGCAGCTGGAACACAGACAGAAGATGACGTCCAAACACTTTCCAGAATATTAGCTACTGTTAGCTACTTTTAGTGACTATTAGCAACCGCTAACTACTGTTAGCGACTGCTAACTACTGTTTTCGATTTAACATTTAGTTTTAGCTGCTTTATCAAATATCAAAAGCGCTCAGTGTTTAACTGAGACACGTCATTATTTTAAGGTCCACTGCAGTATGAAAGGAATTTCAGAAAACTGTTAAATTTGGCCCATTGTTGGCTCCTAACAGACCTGAATTTGGTCCCTAACAGACCTAGATTTGGCCTGGATATGGCCCCTAACAGACCTAGATTTGACCTGGATATGGCCCCTAATAGACCTAGATTTGACCTGGATATGGCCCCTAATAGACCTAGATTTGACCTGGATATGGCCCCTAACAGATCTGGATATGGCCCCTAACATACATGGATTTGTCTCCTAACAGACCTGGATATGGCCCCTAACAGACCTGGATTTGGCCTGGATATGGCCCCTAACAGATCTGGATATGGCCCCTAACATACATGGATTTGGCCCCTAACATACCTGGATTTGGCCCCTAACAGACCTGGATTTGGCCCCTAACGGACCTGGATATGGCCCCTAACGGACCTGGATATGGCCCCTAACAGACCTGGATATGGCCCCTAACAGACCTGGATTTGACCTGGATATGGCCACTAACAGATCTGGATATGGCCCCTAACATACATGGATTTAGCCCCTAATCAGACCTGGATATGGCCCCTAACAGACTTGGATTTGGCCCCTAACGGACCTGGATATGGCCCCTAACGGACCTGGATATGGCCCCTAACAGACCTGGATATGGCCCCTAACAGACCTGGATTTGGCCTGTAACAGACCTGGATTTGGCCTGGATTTGACCCTTAACAGACCTGGATTTGGCCTCTAACGGACCTGGATTTGGCCTCTAACGGACCTGGATTTGGCCTGGATTTGACCCCCAACAGACATGGATTTGACCTCTAACAGACCTGGATTTGGCCCTTAACAGACCTGGATTTGGCTTCTAACGAACCTGGATTTGACCCCCAACAGACCTGGATTTGGCCTCTAACAGACCTGGATTTGGGCCCTAACAGACCTGGATTTGACCCTTAACAGACCTGGATTTGGCCTCTAACAGACCTGGATTTGGGCCCTAACAGACCTGGATTTGGCTTCTAACGGACCTGGATTTGACCCTAACAGACCTGGATTTGACCCTTAACAGATCTGGATTTGACCTCTAACAGACCTGGATTTGACCTCTAACAGACCTGGATTTGACCCCTAACAGACCTGGATTTGACCTCTAACAGACCTGGATTTGACCCCTAACAGACCTGGATTTGACCTCTAACAGACCTGGATTTGACCCCTAACAGACCTGGATTTGACCTCTAACAGACCTGGATTTGGCCTCTAACAGTCCTGGATTTGGCCTCTAACGGACCTGGATTTGGCCTCTAACGGACCTGGATTTGGCCTGTAACGCACCCGGATCCACCACTGATCCAGCAGAAAGTGGACCCACCTGGATCTCCAGGTCAGTGATGATGAATCCGTCTTTCTTCTGACTGTCTCTGACTCTCAGCAGGAATCGGCCGAATCGACTCGCCTCTCCTTCATCCTCCTCCTCTTCCTCATCTTGGTCCTTCACCTGCTTGGTTCTGTCCCTCGGCTGAGGCCAGTACGACTCACATTTCTGGAACAGACTTCGTGTCGTTGATCAGAGCTTCCAGGTGTATTTTTAAATCAAACTGGTGATGTTTGTATTTTAGCTTCAGTTTCAGTTTTTGTCTCTTCACCTCGTTGTTCTCCTTCAGCCTGGTAACCATGACGATGATGCTGCTCCTCTCCTGCCACACCATGTCCCAGAAGTCCCCGACCGTGTGCAGCATCGGCCCCTGGGTGGCGATGTAGGCCCTCGGAGCCCCTTTGTAGCCCTGCAGGACAGAGACAGCTCTTCATCATCATCATCATCATCATCATCATTATTATCATCATCATCATCATCATCATCTCTGATGTTTTTGTATCAAAAACAACGAATGGAAATTTATTTAAATAAAGAAGTCACAATGATGAAGAGTAGTTAAACATCTTGATGACCTTTTTCTTTGAGTTTCATGAGATTTAAAAGGTTTTTTACTGGGTTTAACTCACAAGAGAAACCTTCTTATTGTCATCGTTCTGAAGGTTAGTTTTTAAAACGAGAGGAAAGATTTGATCATTTTGGCTCACTCTCCTTTCAGCGCTGCTTCTGAGTTTACGTGTCACAGTGTGACAAAACTTTCACAATAAAAGCAGATCTATAAAAGCTGCAGATCCACCAGGATTCAATCAGTTTTCAGATGGTCTTAATTCTGTTCGGGGGTGGCCAAGGTAGGGGGCACAGATGAATAAAGAAAACTACGCTGGATTTGAAAATTCAAGATGGCTGCTGCAGAGCTGAAAACTTGTGTGACCGGATAAGAATGATCGATAACATGCCTAATGCTAGTCACAATTTTAAGCTAACTGCTAATGCTAAATTTACAAAGAGCTACAATTCAACCTTTTTTTAGACAAAACTAACAAGTGTTGTAGTATGAGCCGAAAATAATATTTACCCAATTTTAAATGCTAYTCATCACAGCTTTAAATGACTATAATTCAGCCTTTTTAAGACTTATTGAGATGAAAGTTGTTATGGTGTTGCTAAGAATGATCGCTAGTCCCAATTTAAGCTAAACAGTAATGCTAATTTTTACAAAAGGTTATAATTCAGCCATTAAACGCACAGCTAGGAAATTATTAGGGGTGCAACAACACATGTACCCGTATCGAACCGTATCGAACAGAGCTTTAGGTTCAACACACACTTGTATGGAACAATACAGATTTTTAAAATTTATTTTATCAGCTTGTCTTCTGAAGATGCTCTGTGTTGAAGGATCAGTGGATCTGTGTTCGACTACTCCACCTAGGCTGCATTTTTGAGCGCAGATCCACTGAGAAACTTGCTGTTTCAGCAACATTTAATTTAAAAACTGTACTTTTGAGGTTAAACAAATGTTCATAATTAATTTAAATAAATTACAAGTTAAAATGGGCATGGACATTTCTCTTTTTTGTAGCGAAAAAATATCAAACTGTGAGACTAAAGTATCGAACCAAACTGTGAATTTTCTGCTTTCGTTGCAGCCCCAAAAATTATATAGTCGTAGCTGAGAATGATTTCTTTTAACAAAATATGAATTCAAATACAAAATCCAGGACTGCTACCAAAACTAATTTCTAATAATTTACCTAAGCTGTTTTTTTTTTTTTTTTTAGAAATATTCAGCAGAAATTTGGTATGGTGCTAGCCAAGAGCAATCCACATGATGTTTTGAATTTGATTTTGTAGCTACGTGCTAATGCTAATTTAAGAAAGATAAATATTTCAGCCAATTTTAGACACGAAAAGCTAAAATCTGGTATAATAGCAGCCAACAATAATCTTCAACATATTCTGAATACAAATCTAAAATTCACATTGGCCATCTAAGCTTAAAAAGAAAAATACTAAAACTCTGAAATATTTAGAGATATTTAGCTAAAATTTAGTGTGATGCTAACTGAGAGCGATGCCCAACATTCTGAATTCATTTAAAATTCTAAGATGGCCACCAAATCCAAATGGCTACAACTCAGCAATTTTCAGACARACAGTAATGATCTGACATGTGATGTGTTGGGAGCTGTAATCACAGATATATAGTGCAGTCAAAAKTAATTTAATATGGCAGATACATGACATCCCTTCAAGTTTCTCAACAACTTGTCTTACTCCATGTCATTGCCACAGACTGGCCTCTAGATGTTGCTCAGTTTTTATTACCTGCTTTAGTAACCAAGAACTTTTACACACACTTGTTCTTTGTAATTACTTTTACACACACTTGTTCTTTGTAATTACTTTTACACACACTTGTTCTTTGTAATTACTTTTACACACAGTTGTTCTTTGTAATTCAGTTTAGAATTAGAGAAGTTACTGTTTTTTCTTTGCACATTGACATGTAGAGGATACCTGTCAACGTGCAATGCAGGCAATCCCAACCCAACATTACAATCATTTGAGGGTGGCATCGGGGGGGGGCATCCTGGTGAGAAGGGGTTATCTGCAGAATCAAAGTGGGCGTGTCACAAGAGTGGGCGTGTCTAAAGCATAAACACTGTGGACTATGAGGCCTACATGACGGTATCCTTAGACCCTGCTTGATCTCTATACAGCCTGACCCTGACCCCAACACTAAGGTTAACCAGGAGAAATGTGACCCAAGTTGGGGTCTCCAGAAAAAATGGTGCCATACAGTAATGCCCCCTTTTGTTCTTGTCCAATCAGGTGGTGCCGTAGGATGACGCCCCTTTTTTGCTTGTCCAGTCAAGTGTGTCC